ATAATATACCTATATATATATATATATATATTTTTTTTTTTTTTCATATATACATTATTGGATATGTAATTTACATATATATATTTTTGGTTTGTAATTTTAGGGGGTGATATGTTAGAGGGTATAGCAACCAAAAGAAATGGGATGATTGATATGCTATTAATAGGGAGTTTTAATTACAATTATGGCAGGTAATGAAATGCATGGAATAAATTATAAATTAAATATGAAGTTTGATGGCAATGATGTAAAAACATAGGAATACTATGACCTCTTATATCCTACTGGTTATTTAAGTTTGAAATTGGGTTTTACACATAGATTTATAGGATGATGGGTATATGTCTAGGAAATAGAAATTGTATGGACCTATATTGGACAAGCCCATTATTGTAAGTGGCAGTATTCATTGAAAAATGAATTTGACAAAATATATCAAAAGTTTCAAACCATGCCACCAAAATCATCAGCATTTTACAATAACTGAGGAAATACCCAAAATGCACATCAAATAAGTGAAGATCTCATAACCTGGATAATTGGAAGCGAAGGCAAGCTGAGATCCTCGCGCACATTCTCAATGAGCTTCACCATGTTCCCGTGGTACGCATCAGCATCATGCTGCGTTGACGTGTCACTCTCCCCTTGGTACCACAACAATCCTTTGATCTCACCCCCACCATTCACGCTCTCTCTCGCTCTCTTCACCATACTCTCGTACAAGTGCTCCCCACGCGCCCACTCCTTGATCGCCGTCCCGCCCACCGCGCACGGCACGAGCCCCACCACCCCCACGCGCTCCCTCACGGCGTTCGCGAACGCCATCCCCGGCCCCACGCCGCATACCTTCTTGGCATCGATGTCGGCGTGAAGCGGTTCGCACGCGGGCTCCCACCGGAGATGCGCGCTGAGGCGGTGGATGGATGGGTGGGGCCCGCACTCGCTCGGAACGACGCGGTCCCAATGCTGGTGGTGATGGTGGTCTCTGAAAACGCCGCCGCGGCCGGCCATGTTGCTCTGGCCCGATAAGATGAAGATCTGTTTGGGTTGGAGCGATTGAGATTCCATTTTGGCTGGGTAGGTGTTCGGTTGCGGGGATACGGGGTTGTTTTTTATCTTGTTTGGTTTTAATGGGGTGCGAGCATCGCTGATTAAAGAACTTTGAGACCCGGTGTCAGTGGGCCCAGTGTCGCCGATAGGCCGCGTAATGACCCCGCGAGCGAGACGGCGTCGTTTCCGCCTCCTATTGTTGGAGAGTTCTTCTTCTCTCGCTGCTAGTAGCAATATTGGGAAGACAAACAACATAAAATCATCATCAGAATCAGAAGAAGAAGAAGAAAAATCCTCCATATCTGAATTGTTTTTGGAAAATCGTATGGTGAAATGGAGAGGGTTTAACTTATTTATAAATTGATTTTGAAAAATAATATTGATATTTAGTTTTGGTGGGAAAAGACGGCTTAATTTTATTTTTTTTGGTGGGAAAATGAATGAGACTGAAATTGACAAATTACCATCACTCTCTCTTTATGGAAAATCAGAGCATGGCCTTGCCTATTGATCGAAGGGAAGATTAGAAAATCAAATCGTTGTATTGTAATTCGTGTGCTTTGATCTAAAATGCCCTTTATATATTAGCAATGTGTCTAATATCATATGATCACTTCTCTCAATATTATTGAATAGAGGAAAACATCGTTTAACACCTTAACATAATATTCTTTTACTAAGAAAATGACTAGAATCAAATCACCAATATGCACTGCTTATGGGATGGCACCACGATAGAAAAGTGGGCCAAACTCTTCCCCTCTTCCCAAATGCACCAATATTTGATTTACGTAGGAGATAATCTTAAAGCAACCCCTTATAATACTCTATTTCTTAGACCCAAAAAAATAATCACCAATATGTACATATTAATAAGGGTTAAATTACAAAAGCATAAAATTCTACTCTCTAGCGCCTCTCTCTCTCAACTAACCCTAGGAAAACCCAGCCGCCGCTTTCACAACAAGGGGGAGGAGGAGGTCACTACCCCTCCTCCCCATTCCTCTCCTCTCAACCCTCTCCTCGCTCCCCCTCTCTCCTCTCTCTTCCCTCTACCATTCTCAACATACTCAGCCATTCTCACCATCTCCTCCCTCTGTGCTTGCCTTGGTGATTTCTTCCACTCTTGTGGGTGAATCTGAGACTATATGTCTTATTTTAATTATGTGTCTCCAATTCTCCATCAACCTCTCTCTAAATCCAAGTTTGTCACAACATCTTCCATCTACCCCTCGAATTCCTTTTCCCCCTCTTTGATCTGGCCTCTCTTGCGGGATGTAGCAGCTAATCCTAAACGTGATCTCTCGCGTCCCCATCGGAAGGTGTATATAGCTCTTGCTCTGGTGCTTGCACCACCACCCTCCACTCTCTTGATTCTATGGGCTTTGGGTTTCCATTTCTCTTGGTCTTGCTTTGATTGGTTGATGCACCCTCTGTGGGGCATAGGCGGATTCAAGCCTGGTGGAGTTGTTGATTCATGGATGGATGTCTTGGAGCTGATACGGCTATGTGGTTCATAGAGCTTCTGGTCTTGGTGGCAGATTTGTGGGTCTTTTGTGTGCAGCTATGTTGTTTTGTGCGGTGGTGATGTCTCCTCTCACGGCGGCCTTTGTGTGCTTAGGCTAGGGTTTGCCAAAATCCTAGCTTTGAGTGTGAATTGGGCTATATGCTTATTTTTGGGCTCTAATTGTATTTGGGGTGGGCCACTGGACTATGTGTGTTGTTTTATTTTAAGTTATTTTGTTATTGTACTGGGTATGAGAACTTTGTTCTAGACTTGGTTTGAGTTTAGCTGTTTTTACCTGGTTGTGTTACGGTTCTATTGTGCCATTGGTTTGTGCTTTGTACACTTGCCTATTTAGCGTTTTAATGAAATGAGATATGATTTCGACCAAAAAAAAATTACAAAAGCATAAAAGTCTACATTGATTCCTAACCAAAATATCAAATGACAACATCCCACCACAGAATCATATAGAAACAATGATTTATATGCACACCCGAAAAAAGTCTCTTGACACCCAAAGATTCCCAGAATTGCATTTAGGCCCCGTTTGGTTCACGGAATGAATTTGATGGGAAATCATTTCCCATGTCATTTCCCAAGGGATGAGAAATGGTGATTCATTTCCCATGTTTGGTAATACCGGGAAAGTGACCCGGAAATATTACTTTATTTTCTTTCCCATGTTTGTTTTTTGAGTAGGAATGGAAAATAAATTTTGTTTAGTTTCCCAATTGTATCCCTATTAAAATAATATAAAAAAATAACAATAATTGTTGGATAAAAACTGTAATTATGAATTGTTAGTAAGGACAAATTAGTCATAAAAAAAGTTAGTCTTACTTTCCTATGGGAAGGGAAAGTGAAACCCAAGTAGGAAGGAAGGATTCACTTTCCCTCCTACTTTCCCATGTGCTAGGCAACGTTTTCCCATGCCTGACTTACCAAACATGGGAAAGCAATTGGTTTCCCATCCCCAAGATTCCTTTCCCATGAACCAAACGCAGCCTTAGAGCCAAGTGTCCAGAGACAGCTTCAAAATAGGATCAATTTAAAGGGCAGGATGGGAATTAGCTTTTTTTTTTGTTGTGAAAACCAAGGTATCCCCCGCGCGATTGCGGGGACTAACCCTCGAGGCACTGTCGGGCGCAAAGCGGGGACCTCTCCCGACAAAGTCTGCTCTATTCGCAAGCGCCTGGGATCGAACCCAGGACCTCTTGTTTAAAGGATTCAAGCCCC